AGTTTGTTTTTCCTTCTTTCACCTGTTCTGGGCTCTTTGAATTTGGTATCTTCATAGGCCTGATTTTGATACCTTTCTTCCTGGCCCAATGGGGGATGGTTACAGTGGATGAGGAGAGAGCTCACTGGTTGATATTTCAGATTGTTGTTTGGTTTTACATATTTTATACATCCAGGGTCACTTTTCTCCACCATATTGAAAGCTCTATGAGTACACTAGATGTTAAATATTTTTGTTGTTTGAAAGAAAATATTTTTAAAGTATTTAATCTCATGATGTAATACCAGTTTTCACCAGCCAAATTAGCCAAGATTGTTTTACTCCTTTTAAAATCTCAGTGCAGGCAAAGTTATAATGAAACAGTCTCATGAATGGCTCTTTGAGGTGTAAATTGATACAAGCTTTCTCGAAGAAAAATTTAATACTTACTAAGCATTTTGCATTTTTTCATGTCTTTAGTAGTTAAAAGTGTATGATCTGGAGTCAGTGTGGATATGGTGTGTGCAAGCAAAAGACTTAACTTCTAAGTTAAGTCTCAGTTTCTTTTGTCTTTCAAATAGGGATAAAAACAATGCCTACTTCATCTTCCTAATGTGATTATGTATTTATAATAATTAGCATAGTGCTTGATATACATTCAGAGCTCAACAAATGTCAGCTATAATAATAATATGAATTGTACTCTTTTGACATTGTCTTTTAGGAAATACAGTTGACCCTTGAACAACATGATTTTAGAACAATCTAAGTCCACTTATAGATGGATATTTTTTCAGTAAATACACAATCAATCCTCTATGTCTCTGGGTTTTACAGATTCAACCACCGCATATCGAAAATAATATTTTTAAAATATGTTTTTATTAATTTTTTTTAGAGAGAGAGAGGAAGGGAAAGGGAAAGAGAGATAGAAACATCAATGTGAGAGAGAAACATCAATGGGCTGCCTCTTGCACACCTGCTTCTGGGGATCAAGCCCAAAACCTGGGCATGTGCCCTGACTGGGAATCCAACTGGTGGCCTCTTGGTGCTCAATCCACTGAGCCACAACGGCCAGGGGAAAATAGTATTTTTGATCCTTGGTTAAGAATCTAACAATATAGAGGGCCAACTGTATGCATTGTTCTACACTATTTTATAAGGGACTGAGCATCCTCAGATTTTAGTATCCACAGGAGGTCCTGGACACAATCCTCCACAGATATCAAGGGATGACTGTAATTACGTTTTAGGGAAGTCATAATTACATACAAATTTTTTACTGCACACGGGGTTGGTACCCTTAACCCCCTGTGTTGTTCAAGGGTCACCTATAATTTAAAACATTCAAAGGTGTTATCATTGTTTTACTGAATATCATGGAGCCCCTAAAAATTATGTTTACAAAGAGTGTCTAATGACACATGGAAATGCTGATTATATTGAGTAAAAATAAAGATATTACATGACAATGTTTAATATCACCTAATTTATTAAAAATGTATATATATATATATATATATTTGTATAGAAAACTAAGAAAAGTGTCAATGTTAGTATTTCATCTGAAAGGCCTACATAGGGTGATTTTTATGCTTATTTAAACTCTGTAAAAATGTTCTTAATATTTACAATCATAGTTCACTCTGTAGCCAGAAAAATAAAACCTCAAGATCCCCATTCAAGTCCCACTCAGCCCCTGTCCTGGGAAGAAGGTCACAGTGGTGCCCTGGGCTTGAGCCTGAAGCTTGCTGCTGGTGGTGCCCGATGGGACTGGCCACTTCAGCCTGCCGTGCCTGCATTCTGTAGGCTGCCCTCGGGAACTATACTTCTCTGATTACAAGTCAGAACACTGGTATTAATCCTCAAGCCCTGGTTGCTCTGATTTTTGGCTTTTTTCCTTGCACATCATCACTCATTTTGAGCTTTCCCAAGATACTTTCCCCTACAAAGTGATTTTGATGTCAAGCTTCTTAAGACAAAGGTGTTTCTTGGGTTTTAGGAATTTAGTTTTTATTCTGGTTGGTTTAATAAAAGTCAGTCAACTTTCAGATCGACTTTAGGGCATTTTTATTTAAGTGCTCTTCTGTTGGGGACTTGTATACGATGGAGGTTTGCGTGAGTGTATTACCAGGGGACCCACTCACATTGTTGTTTTGGTATGAATCGATTCATGAGATTGGGTGTTTAGAAGACTTTTTAAATTGTGGATGAATGAATAATGAATGAATACAGGTAGCGAACCAAAACAGTTAGAGAGTTCATCTTTCCAGACTCAGGTAGTTATGTGTGTGAGGTAAAACTATAACCCAACTTGGATTAATGTGATGCTTTGGGCAGCCTTCAGTTGAGAGTTTTATATTTTCAGTTGTCAGTTATTGGTTTCTCTTTGCCTCTGGGTACTCATTCCATCATGCAAGTGATATGTCTTAAAACTTAACATGAAACCATGGAGAGAAGCAGAGGCCTGAGATTTGGAAGTTGAGGTCAAGGAAAGTAAATAGAGATGAGGGAAAGTATGCAATAATGCTGAATTTCAAATAATGTTGAAAATTGGTCAAGCCTAGCCAGTTTGACTCAATGGCATCGGCCCAAGGACTGAAGGGTTCCGGGTTTGATTCCAGTCAAGGGCATGCACCTCGGTCGCAGCCTCGATCCACAGCCCCATTTGCGGCTTGTGCAGGAGGCAACCCATCAATGTATTTCTCTCACATTGATGTTTCTCTCTCTGTGTCTCTTCCCCTTCCTTCTACTTTCTCTAAAAATCAACGAAAAAATATCCTTGGGTGAGGATTGATAACACTAACAAAAAAGAATGTAGGTGGAAGAATTAGCCATTTCATTCTGTGAGAGAATTGAAATAAAAATGGCTAAATACAGATGTGCTGAGGTTGACAGGGAGGAATTGAAGGTGCTCATGCTTGAAGGGCTGAAAGAAGTAGAAGATGAAATAACCTGGGAAGGGAGGAGGTGGGCAGGTGGGGGTGGTGACTAGAGGAGAGCAATAAAGGTTTAAAAGCAGCTGCCATGAGGTGTGAAGGAGTGTCCATAACTCAGCTCTATCTTCCTTTAGAAATAATACTACACATTATGCTCCTTTTTTAAAACAGCTTCTAGAGATCCTTAAGGTAAGACAAATCCATAAATATTTATTTATTGTACCCACGGAATACTCCCGAGACCTGCTTACTTTCTCTTCAAAGCATCCCCTGGGTGATTACTCTTTCATTTCTCTAATTGCACACTAGAGAAAGCTGCAGTTAGTTGCAACTAGTGTTTAGATCTCTGCACACCTGCAGACCTTGTTGATGCATGCCTGAGCCCAGAACTCTCTGCAAGTACTTGCTTTAAAGAGGAAGAGGCCATGACCTTTCAACTAATCTCGCCTTGAGTCAGTAATGGGCCCAATCGGAACATGTATCCATGCATTTAGGTAATCACAAAGCACAGCCTCCTCCATTTGCTCCAGCAACTTTTAAAGCTTTTCTGAGTCTCCCCTTTGTACATGTAGGGTTGTGCTCCTGGCACTGTGAGTAGGGCACAGGAATAAAGATTTTAAAAAGTTTGGCATTGTGTGGAAACCATACATTAAGTCAAGGAAAATTGCCTCCTTATCATATTTCTCTCCATACAGTCATAATCTCCTTTATGAATCTCTGAAGGGCTGTCATGAGGCTTAATTTGGCTCTTAGGATATTCAGAATTGTTCCTAATACTAGCAAAGGCTGCCTGTAACTTGAAACTCCCAAAGTTCAGAGAAAGGTCAGGGGCTGTTAGTTTGCCTGCTGCAGGAGGGTCAGCATTTTTGAGGACTTTTGCTTCAACTGCTGGAGTCATTATAAAAGTCCTAGCATGGCTTCTCATGCAGGTGAGTGGGTGCTGGGTATGGGACTCAAATCTGCTTCTTGCACAGGGAACACATCTCAGATGATCAGCAGTTAAGAAAATGTATCGCTGAAGATATAGAGAGAAAGACCTGTTTTAGTAGAGTTCAGGGGTCAGCAATCTGTTTCAATGACAGGATTGTTTTTAGTCTAAACATCAGTAGTTATCCCAGTCTATATCTACAAGACTATCTGGTCCCTGAGTGAGACATTAGCAAGTACAAAAGTGCTTTGAATCCAAAGGGGAAGATGGAAAGGCCTTATAACCAGAGTTCTCTCTTCTTTTTCCTCGGGCTTTTACACCTCTTTTATTTTGGTGGGTAATTATGGATTTGTGTATTTCTTCCACCTTTGGAATGGGGGATGGTCAATGGGACTTAAAGGGTAATTATCAGGACAGATATTTTCACCTAAATGGGGGATGAACACAATCAAGTTCTTGAATTAAAGGATGTCTATTGTATGGGCGAGAACAAGAGGCAGTGCTCGCCATACCAGGTAATTTGTCTTATAGCTTCAGTCATAACTGGTACAACAGAGCTTCCGTGAGCTATGTTTTGCGTCATGAAAATGAATTTTCAATTCATAACTCTTTGTCATAAATTTTCCTTTAGTTAAAAATTAAAGTTTTCCACGATCTGAACCCAATGATTTACTAACTCCAATCCCCCCGTACAAATGCCTGAGACTGGTGTACTGCCTCTGGAAGACCGAATCTGGGAGGGCAGTGAGCACAGCTCAGAAGCACGGGGAAGGGGGCGCATGCTGTCCTCGAGTTCTCGGAGCTCATGGGGAAATGGTGATAGTATCGATGATACTGTTTCTGTGAGTCTGACAGTTCGCTGTATACGCCTTGCAAGTATCTCTATCACAAGCTGCCCTAGAACTTGAAGGTCGTTCAATTGGAAAGGGATGAAAACTCAATTGATGTGCTGGGCCTGGCCATTTGCTAAAATCCTCAAACACACAATTTGTGCAGATCCCTCACTTCTGCTCTACTGCCAGATACTGCCTTTGGGCACTCAAACTGTCTGTGCTGCAACGGTGGTAATTGCAGTTCCATCTGCCCTTTTGGTGTAGTGATGAGTCTTGGTGCTTCCATCATCTGCTTTCTCTGTGCTCCCTTGCCCTCTCCAGACTGCCATCCTCTGTGCCAGCAATGTGCAGCTGATCTCCACAACCCCGGGAGCATCTGCCTGAGGTGCCAGAACACCCAGTTCCTGCTGCTGGGGGACCACTGTGTTCCTGATTGCCCTTCTGGATATTACGCGGAGAAAGGAGCTTGTAAAAGTAAGTCAGTGTGGGACACAGGAGCTGCTGGTGCCTGTTGAGCTTCTCTTTTGGGTAATAGCTGAGGAGACTTGTGGGGGGGAGAGAGAGAGAGGAGAGAGAGAACAGGAGGGGCGGCAGGGGATGGGTGGGGAGGGCAGGGGAAGGGAGGGGAGCAGAGGGTGCACACTGTGATAATAAATCAGACCAGCTAATGCTCTCAGCATTGGGGCTTTTTAAAAAATTTATCCTTATTGTTGAAGGTATTACAGATGCCCCCCTTTTCCCCCCAGTGACCCCCTCCTTCCCACACCCACCCCAGCACTGGGCTTTTATGAACAGTTCTGGGGATACTACTTTGGAAAGGAGTTTGGCTTCACAGGTTCTCTTTGTGTCTCTGCAGAATGTCACTCCTCCTGTAGAACCTGCCAGGGCAGAGGACCCTTCTCCTGCTCCTCATGTGACACTGGCCTCGTTCTGTCCCACCTTGGCACCTGCAGCACCACCTGCTTCCCAGGGCACTATCTTGATGACAGCCATTCTTGTCAATGTAGGTTTTAAAACATGAGTTTTCTCTCTTTTCCTTTGCTTCCGTTTTCTTACCTGTAGCCTTTATTTTTATAAAAGGACGAAAATTAATCTAAAAAGGCATATGGATGCCATTAGCAGATTTAATCAGATATCACCCTAATTCGAAGTGCTGGGCTGGGCCTCTCCTCTGCCAGTACCAGATGTGTGATCTTGGGTCAGCTATTTATTTAATCTGTCTGTTCTGTAGTTATTTTATTAAAAAATAAAAAAATGTTAGTCTATTTCCTTTTATTGTTTCCTTCAGCGTTTGAATTACAAGGTCCTAAGCAGAGATCATTCTAGCACACAACCAGTGACCTCAGCACTTCTCTGGATTCAATTTGTTTTTGACATGTATTTGTTGAATATTGACAATATGGAGGGCTTGACATGCACAGAGTATTTAGTTTCTGCCCAAACAGTAGTTATTTTGTCTTGCATGAGAGTTAATTGTATAGATGTCTTATTTTTGAAAGAAGTCAAAATATGATTAATTACTGAGTCAGGCAAAACAAAGAGTTAGGATAAATTAGGGAAAGGGCAAATCTGAGGGAATAAATTAGGAAATCCTTCACAGATGACAGAACACTTTTAAAAATGGACTGAGGTGGCTGACTTTATTTCAATCATTGAAGTGTCATTTGCAATATATATATATATATATATATATATATATATATATATATATATTGCAATATATATATATACACACATATATATATATAGTTATACTTTCTCATTTGAAAATGAAAGTTAACAAATACAGTGCTGATATTTCAACTTTATGTCCTAGGAAATACCATGTTGGAGCAATTATAGAGTAGTGGTTAGGAGAGTTGGCTCAAGAGTCAGGAGTTCAAATCCTACCTACCACTTATTAGCTTTGTTACCTTGAGCAAGTAAATTAATCACTAGTTCACTCATCTCTTTCTTCACTGTCTACTATCCATGGAGTTAGTGACCTTAGAGAACTGCACCTGCTACTCCAGATGTGGTCATCCCAACATGACTGCAATAGGACTAATACCTCATAGCTTGGAGAAATGCTCCTTACCCACATCCCTCCGAAGATGGAAGCTGAGGACCTAAGGGGCTCTGGTATGTGCAGAACTGCCCTGAGTGAGACAAGCACATTTGCAGATTGCCTTGGAGAAGGGTGAGGGGATAGATGAGAGAGGAAGAATGGTTCAGACAGGAATAGTGGAAGCCTGTGCTTCTCATTATGACACTAGTGCATCCTCCCAATCCTCTTAACGTTTCAAGATGGTCATTGTGAATCTATATTATTTTGGAAGTCAGTGAAGGGGCTGAGTTTTACACTGAGGTAGCAAGGTGAAATGAAAGACTGCATAGAAGGATTCAAGAGCATGGAGGCTGACAGAGGCTTGAGGAAGTATTACAGGAAACTCAGCTGTGTACTGACCTGTGACCCCAGTCCAAGGAACTGGCATTTGGGCCTCTTTTTGCAGCTCCCTATCAAGTAGGGGGTTCCAGGTGACATTTAGTTTACATGTAGGCTCTTCAGCTCAAGAGTGTATTCATTTCCTTAGTAACCATATCACACTTGTAATACGCTTTTAATCAACTAAAACTTTCAGGTCCTTTTTTTATAGGAATTGCTGTCTAAGGCCTTTTGTATCCGCTATTTGTGTTCATTTGTTATGGAACATAAATGTAGGGCTTATAGTTTTGTTTATTTTATCTTATTACTTTTAGTTTATTGCCTCAACTGGCAAAATAGGTTTGAGCTCTTATTCTTTCAGCTGGTAAAACTTAACTACTGTGTTTCCTATATAGGTATATATGGCATATTTCAATATCATTAGCATGACATCATTGTTTTCATTAATTAACAGTTATTAATAAAAATATTGATCAAGTAAAAATAATGACTTGGTCATATTACTCTACTAGACATTTCTTTTACCAATTACAAAGATTTCCTGATCACGTTTGAGTATGCATTTCAACCATCTTTAAAACCACCTACAACTACTAGACCCCTTTATTTTTGTATTCACCAGTTTATCTTTGGGATCATTATCAAACATTTTGCCAAAATTAAGATGCGCCATGTGTAGAAATCCTATTAAAACAAAAGAAGGATAAAAGTTTACTGTCATGTAAGTTTCCAACATTTAAAATATTCTTTTCTAACTATTCCCAAATTATCTGAAAACTCCCATCTAGAATTTTTATGGGACATTTCATTACAAATCTACATACTCTAATGAATATGTTATATCATTGCTTTTTCTTATAGGTAAAACACGAGGTTTTCTTTCTTTTTTTTTTAAATATATTTTATTGATTTTTTATAGAGAGGAAGGGAGAGAGATAGAGAGTTAGAAACATCGATGAGAGAGAAACATCGATCAGCTGCCTCCTGCACATCTCCCACTGGGGATATGCCCGCAACCCAGGTACATGCCCCTGACCAGAATCGAACCTGGGACCCTTCAGTCCGCAGGCCGATGCTCCATCCACTGAGCCAAACCGGTTTCGGCGAGGTTTTCTTTCTTTTTATTTCACAGGGAGGTGATTTTCTACAGTGTGCCTCATGCTTTGATACCCCATAGATTTAAAACTCCCTTGATCACTCTGTAGACTTTTCCTGTGACCTATATTTAGAGAATATTTCAGAATGAAGTAGAGATGCTAGTGCTTGAGGGTACATAATTAAAATATCTGGCTTCTTTTATTTATGTAACAAGTGTTTACTAAACACCTACAAGATGATAGATAACCAGTTAGGTGCTGGGATTCTTGCAAGGAACAAAGCAAACCTGGCCTTTACTTTTATCAAGCTTTTAGCTTAAAGGATACAGATATTAAATAATCACTTAAATGAAAATGGTTATATATGGCATGAAAGAAATGTATGGAGTGTTATAGAAACAGTAACTGGCAGACCTAGTCTAGACTGGAGAATCAGGGAAGGCCTTCTTGAAGAAGAGCCTGGAGAATGAGTACGAGTTAAAGACAAGAGACTTGGAGATTATATTGAGAGGATTCAAATATGTGAGTTAAAATGTATAGGTGGGACAAATAAAGGGAATGATGGAGGAGCAATATTTGTAGAAATGAAAGCTGGAAATTAATTTTTCAGGATTCAGGAAAAATATGAATGTATAGATCAGCCGTGGGCAAACTACGGCCCGCGGCCCGTTCGAAATGAATAAAACTAAAAAAAAAAAAAGACCGTACCCTTTTATGTAATGATGTTTACTTTGAATTTATATTAGTTCACACAAACACTCCATCCATGCTTTTGTTCCGGCCCTCCGGTCCAGTTTAAGAACCCATTGTGGCCCTCGAGTCAAAAAGTTTGCCCACCCCTGGTATAGATGAAATTGACCTCTGGAGCTTGAGCAGTACGAATGAAAATATTACTCTGGTGGAAACATGGAAAATAGATTGCAAGGGGGTCAGATTAGATTTAGGGAAACTAATTAGGAGACTATGGTAGCAGTCCAAAGGAGATGATGATGGCTGGATCTATTGGTGGCATGTGTGGATATGGAGAAAAGCAAAAAGTTCTGAGAATTACATAGGAGAGTTCCAATAAATAGGATCCAGTGAGTGATTGGGAGTGAGGAAAAGGGGCTGTCAAATAGACTCCCAGGTTTCTAGCATGAATAATTGAGTAGATGGAGAAATGCCAGTTGCTCAGTTAGGGAAGATGGGAGTATGATCAGATTTAGGAATCATCCCTCAATGCCTAAATTAAGTAAACAGTTGCTAAGAATCACAACTGGGCAAATCAGTAAACCAGGTCACCTTTAAGTCCATTGTATCTTAAAGTTGATGCCTAATTTTAATCTTGACATCACATAAACTCTGAATCTATGTCATTAACTAAGGGGGCTTGATTCCTTAAGAAGTAAGGTTCAAATAAAACTCTGGACTATCTATCATTTCAGAGATCTTGGGCTAAGTATAAATTCTGTTGCTGAATCACAAAGGCAATTTGAATGAGGGGTTTCCATTCGTGGGTTTATCATTTATCTTTTCTGGAAAATAAGATTATCTTTTTTTAATGTTGGAAAATAAGACTAACATTGTCTGTTTCTGTTGATCACAGGGGAGGGCTATGAGCCATAATTAAGGAACAGGTTGGAGCTGGGCTTTGTTTCTTTGCAGCATCTGTCTAGGTTTGATCAGTATGTCAGTATTTGCAATTGTAATCATCTGGTCATTTTCTTTTCCTATCTGCTCAGCATGCAACCCGCACTGTGGAAGCTGTGATTCCCAGGCCAGCTGTACCTCCTGCCGAGATCCAAACAAGGTCCTGCTCTTTGGGGATTGTCAGAATGAGAACTGTGCCCCACAGTACTATCTTGACTTCTCCACCAAGACATGCAAAGGTGAAGCTCGTCCTGAGTTGTACAGTTCTTTTACCAGTGATGCCCCTTTACTATAGATGTTCATCCCCCACCTTGGGAAAATACTGTCATCATGCATTTAGACTTTCTCTGATGATAGCAAGAAGTCATTATGTATGTATGCATTCATGTCTTCACTCATTAATTTATGTATTAAAGGTTCAAGCAGGGAGATGAAAAATATTTATTTGTTAAACAAATATTTTTGAGCACCTACTATGCACCAGCCATTGTGTAAGTTAATAGTAACAAGACCAGGGGTGGCAAAGTGAAAACCCTCTGGTTGTATTTGGCCCACCGAATCTTCCAGTGTTTCAAAACGTTTAATATTTGCCTTTTAAAAATCAGAAAACATACCATACAAAAATTGAGATTCTTCTAAGTCAGAAGATATGGCAAAACTGGATTTGCATTCCCGGAATGCGACAGGAGGTTGGCATGAGTAGCTGTTGTCTCTGTTGGATAGAGCATGATCTCTGAAGGTCACCACAGTCCTCACTGTTCCCTATTCCATCACACAGGCCTATTTAAAAGATTTACACTACCTTCCTGGGCCCCATAGGCACTTGCATTTACAACTCTAGAATGCTAGACTCTATGCTTAATGCGGACAGGAGTTGTATCTGATTTGTTCATCAACATACTGAAATGAGTGAAGACACAGTCCCTGTCCTCAAGGAGTTTATGTCAAAAACCAATTGCCTTTTTCTTTGTTCTCCAGTGGTTGGAATTCTAGGGGATTTTGCTCTTTGAATGGCAGTGCTCAGCCAGAGGAAAAGAGAGTTCAAGCGTGATTTTCCTTGCTCTTGTTCTTTCCCTCCTCCATTCCTCTATTCCACACTTCCCTCTGTATCTCCAGTTCTGCCAGGGAACCTAGGGCTCAGATATGGAGGTCAAACGTCTGTCCGGTAAACTTGGGATGCTTGAAGCCTTTGCAACATTGCACACTATCCATTCCAGGAAATTCTCCTTGGTTGTCAACTTAGGTGGTCTGCTGTGCTCGAGACCAAAGAAGCTTTTCTGTTTCTTCCCTCCTAACCACTGAATGTTAGTTTGCGGTGAAAAACAAGATTATCACAAATCCTCCCTGTTGTAAATGATTTCGTAACCGTGCTGGCAGTTTTCAAGGCTGTATGTTAGTCATTTTCCCTCAGGACTGATTCAGCCAAATAAATGAGTGAGATTAACTTTATAAATCTTCTTGGAAGCACATGTACTGTCTTGCACGTTTACCTGCTTCCTTGGGACTTAGAAATATTGCATCAAGGAAGAGGGAAAGTGACTAATGAGCAGTTTTCCCAGCTTCTTCTCAGGGAGGGGAGGTGGGCTGAGGCAGCACAGAGTGGAGATATTTCTCCAAGATAAACAGTTCAGCAGCAAACCTTTAGGAAGCTGCTACCATATGTCAGGCACTATGCTGGGTTCTTTACATTCATTATTTCAGTCTTCACAGTAGCCTTATGCAATAGGTACGATTCTTTTTTTTTCCAGTTAAAATATATTAAAATTTATTTCAAAATGCATACAATATTATTCTGTTACACTGATTTGGCTTAAGCTCCAAAAATGCTCAAATATTCCTGTTGAAATTAGAATAGGTCAATTGTAGAGAAGAAGTATCAGACATTTCGAGTCTATAACTACTCTTCAAGGATGAGGACTTCCATATTTAGAGAACATCGTGTCCCTAATTATTTATTGTGGCTCAAGTCTAATTCACCCATGCTATATTTTAATTCTGCTCAAATATTTCTAGAATTCCAAAGTATCTCTAGCACCAGTTCCCTGACAAAGTTAGCTGTTTAAATTAAACCAACTATTTTTCCATACCCTGGATGAGATAGATGATAAAAATGCAAACACATACACAAAAAACACACACACACAAAGAAACTATTTTTTTGCACCGTTAATAGTTCCTTTTTAATAAATATTGTTTTAAGTATCTGAGCACCTTACCCACAACAAACCATGTATTTATACCCCACAAATCTTCCCATGCAGAGATTTTGCATACTACTAAGTCCCCATCTGAGGGCTACAGTCCATTCTAATTCTACTGTAGACACTAGTTATAATTAAAGTATCAATAGGTATGATTCTTATTTCTGTTTTACAGACAAGGAAACTGAGGCTTAAAACATTTAAGGGAGGCATGTGAGATATGCAGATAAAAAGCAGCAAAGCCACAACTTGCATAAAGACTTACCTGACTTCAAAACTAAGCCCTTAATCATGCCGCTGCCCCATCTCCCACGCATGAAGCATACCTTCTTAGCAAGCACTTCGTTTTCAAATATGAGTTTTCTGACTGTATCCGAACTGCCTCAGCAACGACAGCTATAGTAACCACAATAACAAAGCAATAGCAGCAGCAACATGTTCTTCTTGCCTCAGTCTCTGAGACTGACTATAGTTCTGATGGCGAGCCTGATCACCTATGTTTCTTTTATTTCTTTAAATGTGTTTTTATTGATTTCAGAGAGGAAGGGAGAGGGAGAGAGAGATAGAAACATCAATGATGAGAGAAGCATTGATCCGCTGCCTCCTGCACACCCTCTACTGGGGATGGAGCCCACAATCCGGGCCTGTGCCCTGACCAGGAATCGAACCATGACCTCCTGGTTCATAGATCGACGCTCACTCAACCACTGAGCCATGCCGACTGGGCCACCTGTGTTTCTAACAACCCCACTGGATTATTTGGGCCACATCTAGGGCTGGGACCCACTAGAACATAAGGTCCTTGAGGGCAGGGTCTACACCTCTCACTTTACACCCTCGCCCAATGCTGAGTATCCTGCAGGTGCTTGCTGAGTGGATGAACCTGAAAATGAATCGGTTCTGCTCTACATGAGATTGTCTGTTCCTTCAGTAAGCCCTTTATTCTGGACAGGTCCTTCATGCCCTGTCTCACTCTACCATTGTTGGTTCTTTCTGTCCTGTTGGTCAGCACCTGATTTTTGAGAAGTAGAGATTGTGGGCTGGTCATGGAGATAGAAGATGCATTCTTAGTTGACTCTCTGACATCCTTTCTCTCTCAAGCATTTGGAGGGGGTCCGCAAATTGGCCACTCCCTACAGCAGGCTTTGCATGAAGATGTGCGACTCAGGGATAAAGAACTGGGGGCTTGTGGAATAAGATCGAGTTGACCTGGCTCCTCAGCAGCCCCACTGACAAACAGGCTCAGGAGCAGGAGCGATCCATGTACACGCTCATGTCTCACATCATTAGGAAACACTAAACCTCAGAGAAGTGCCCAGGCTACTATCAGTAGAGTCGCTAGAGCTCACTTGTCTGACATCTCTTATGTGGGACTCACTTTCCCCCTTGCAGCTGCAGGCAATATCCTCATAAATTAGGTGCTGGGCAGAAAGGAAGCTGGTCTAACGAGGCCTTTCTTTCTAGAATGTGATTGGAGTTGCAATGCGTGCAGTGGGCCTCTGAGGACAGACTGCCTGCAGTGCATGGATGGCTACGTTCTCCAGGATGGCACCTGCGTGGAGCAGTGCGCACCATCATTCTACCGGGACTCGGGACTCTGCAAGGGTAAGTGTCTGGAGCCCCTGCTCTGTGCTCATCCAAACTTCAGCCTCTTCTCGTTGTGCTGTTCTGAGAAGGAGCCTGTGGCTGGTTCCCAGCCTGGCTTTGTGTCTAATTTCTGGTTTCTTTTCTAAGAACTTTTCTTTGGTATAATGAAAATGTCTTTTTCCTTTCTCTCATGCCCAAATACATTTCCTAAAATTTGAGGGCACTATGGAAATAATGGGAGTGTATGGCCATGGAAACAGGTATGTTTGGGCCATTACTTTTGGGTTTCCTTAAAAATTGAACAGGCCTGCACTCCAGATGGAAAGGTCTGTGTCCTCTGGTCCCTTGAGTACATGGACAGACCTCATTATTCACCGTCTGTTTCCCACAGCCCTCCATACAGCTTATATCTCACCATCACCTTTCTCTGGTCCAGGACCTCCTTCAGCCTCAATTTAACACCACAAAATCTTCAGACCTTGAAATGCCCACCCAAAGTGCCCAGAAAACATTCTTGGGAGCATTGTTGAGAGACTCTGATAACTGACTGGGTGAGTCAGGAAAAAGATTGACATTTCAGCAAAAATGGTACAGAGAGCTAAGGACTAGCTAATAACAATAATGGCTAATACCTGTTCATTTCTAGTTTGCCTAGTATTTTCCATTATTTAATTTGATCTTCACCCAGGGAGCTAGGGGGATAGTATGTCCACCCCCATTTTGTAGGAGAGACCACTGAGACTCAGAGAAGTGGAGTAACTAGTTCTCTCCTCCAGCTGGTAAGTGTGACAGTCTCAACCAGGAGCCCGACTCCTTGCTCCTGTCTGCAGCTTTGCCCAGCCACAAGGTTATATCGCTCATTGCTGTCTAACACTGCCTTGCTGTCAGGACCAGGAGCCCCTGGGAAAGCCATACACATTCCTGTCGACTTGACTTGTCTTTCAGGCTGTGACAGCCACTGTCTCCAGTGCCAAGGTCCCCAGGAGTGTACCCGCTGTGAGGAACCATTTCTCCTCTTGGGAGCCCAGTGTGTCCAGGAATGTGGGAAGGGATACTTTGCAGATCATGCCAGTCGCAAATGTGCAGGTAACTTGGAAACCAGGATGAATTCTCTGGAAAAACGTAAAGGAGCAAGCTATTCAGGTGTGCTGATCCTCAGGTAACCAAGGAGAATTGGAATCAGAAGTAGCATGAAAACTCAGGGAGCTTGGCCTAAGCAATTGATGACTTCCCATGAAATCCACCAATTGCTGGTTAAATGGAATATAAAAGAGCAGGCCAATAATTCTCTTGCGCAAATCAATATTGTCCCTAATTGTCTTTATGGAAATGAGGCCAATATTTTATGGAATGTAAAGCTTACGTATACCCATTAAGAGTGGATCAGCCCTGTAGATGTGAGCATAGAATTTTCAGTGTGTAGGCTAAATAACCAGTGATCCTGATATTTGCCATAATATCCTTGAAGAGTAGAATTTCTGGAGATACTTTAGTGAGACACATTAATCTTTTATTATGAAACTGAAGTTAAGCCCAAAGTCTAAATTACCTTGTCTATTGAGTTATTGAGGAGAGTTTCCTTAGTGTGTTCTCATCATTTCTGTCAAACCTTAGTACTGTTTGCCCCACTTTAATGAACACCTGACATTTAATAGTAATGCCATTACCCAGGCTTAACATTTTATACTTCACCAAATTTCCTTCATCAGCATTGTATCATTTGATATTTACAATGGCCTGGTAAAATATGGCAGGCACTATGAATCCTGTTTTGCAAGTGAAAACAACAACAACAACAACAACAACAACAGACACACACACACACACACACGCACACACACACGCACACACACACACAGAAAAAACAAAGAGGCTAAGAGTATTAAATAGGGCAACATAAAATAAAATATTAAACCCAAGTTGTTTTGTTCTAATCCAGTGCCTTTTAAACTGTACTGTGCTGCATTTCTCTACCAAAATCTTATCTACTGAAGCAGAAAAATAATTCTAGATTACTAACTTGACCCAAAGAAATCATCTATGGTCCTTTAAATAGCTTGATCACCTATTGCATTTAAAATAATAATAATTAAAAAAATAGGAGAGTAGCAGTGATAGTTGTAGTGCGATTGAGCCCTTTTGTGTGCCAGGCACTGTTCTATTCACGACATACATAACACACGTATTCCTCCCAACAATCATTTGTATTAGGTGCTATCAGTTTCCCCATTTTTTTAAAAAAAGAAACTTGCACCACAGATTGTTAGAGGAACTTACCCATGTTTGGCAGCTAGTAAGTGGTAGCAGAGGAACAGTACCCAGAAAGGGCCTATGCTCTTAATCACTATAAACTGCCTCTCTTACAAGTCAATATGGTTAACTTTCTAAACAATTCATTTATGTGAAACATTTTCAGATCACAGTGTATAAGGCAAGAGTGCTCCTCCCTATCACTTCCCTTCCGAGGGTTGATCAGCTCTCTGTGAAATTCTGTAAGAGACTGGATTCTCTTTTGCTGCAGTTGGTGGCCATGTGTGCTTGTGCTCTCACTCTTCTTTGCTTTACCACGGTGGCCCTGGCTGGGTTCCCGTGCCTTTGTTGTGCATCATTTAGTGTGTCCTCTCTTCAATAGCCTGCCCTCGGAGGTGCTTGCAGTGCAGCCACAGAAGCCAGTGTCACCGCTGTGACCATGGGTTCTCTCTGAAAAGTGGCCTTTGCGTTTCCAACTGTGTTCCTGGCTTCTCTGCCCACTCATCTAACGAAACATGTGCTGGTAAGTACTTCTCCACTGGTGGCTGATGAGTTCACCTGCAGTTTCTACATGCAGAGGCTGTGTGTGCACATGCAGTGGACTCATGTGGTATAAAATGCAGGATTCCCATTCCTGGGGAAAACACCGGTGCCGCTAGGAATAAGGAAATCTTTATAGAACGTGAAAGCTTGGGAAAACTCAACTTCTAAACTTTTTAGAGAAGAAAAAGAAGCAATCTTCTTTAAAAGTTAACTGTGCCCTTGCCGTTTGCTCAGTGGCTAGAGCGCTGCCCTGCAGACCAAGATCCTGTGTTTGATTCCTGGTCCAGGGCATGTACTTTAGTTGTAGGTTCAATCCTCAGCCCCCATTGGGGCGTGTGTGGTAGGCAACCAGTCGTTGTGTCTCTCACATTCATGTTTCTCTCTCTCCCTTCCACTCTCTCTAAAAATCAATGGAAAAATATCCTTGGGTGAGGATAAATAAATAAATAGAAAGTCAACTGTCAGATCAGAAATTTGGCATAAAACTTACTTATGTTCCTGAATTACAACTATGTTGCAGAAAATTACATATATACTTATATAGATATAATTTATTTATATTTATATAAACTTGTAGAGCTGATAGTGCCAGGATGCGATGGTGCATCCTTTGTGCACATGCTAGAGGTAACTTACAAATAAATAATGAATAGTGTGAGGAGCTTGCCCCATTAGGTTCATACATTTGAAGCAAATAGATTTCAAGCCATATTGTTTGCCATTAAGAATGAGGTAACAGCCCTAGCTGGTTTGGCTCAGTGGATAGAGCATCGGCCTATGGACTGATGGGTCCCAGGTTCAATTCTGGTTAAGGGCACATGCCTGGGTTAGGGCTCAATCCCCAGTGTGGGGCGTGCAGGAGGCGACCAATCAATGATTCGCTCTCATCATTGATGTTTCTATCTCTCTCTCCCTCTCCCTTCCTCTCTGAAATCAATAAAAATATTTTTTTTTTTTAAAAAAAGAATGAGGTAACAAGTTAAAAGAGTGGAGCTAGTCTTGTCCAAAATATCAATGAACACTTTATATAACAAAGAGAAGCAAATTTAAATTGTCTTAATTTTCAACCTCAAAAGTTTTAGAGGGAAATAAAACTTGGGAGTTCTGTTATAGCTGAGCATTCCTTGGCTTTCGTATCCTTTATCAATAACAAGAGGCATACTTTAATGCATGCAGTCAATCATATTTTCCATCTCTGTATTTCTGACCTCTAAAGATATTAAAACTTCACATGAGAAAAAGTATCTTTGGCTTTTTTTATTGGTATCCTTCTAAAAACAACAAGTACTTGAGAGTCAGCTTGTTCCTCTTAGGATGTAATACAAGTCAATGTGCAAATGTGAATTACTCTCACCTTCGTTAGTAATCTTACAATAGAAGAAGTCCCCCTGAAAGTTGGCATTGCTAACTGTCCTGTCTGGCTTACCTTCAAGTCCAGGCAAAACAACTTGCAGGAGACAGAATGGTCAGAAATCCTAATTCATCCATCCGATGTTTCCTGTGGACAAAGATTGTAAAACTTTTAAACAAAGTGTGTATATTTCACATGAATTCTGAATATAAGCCATTGATAATCCTACTTCAATGGAGATTAACTGGTACTGTTCTAGCATTGGTATTAAACACTTACCTCTTTTCTTGCCCTTGGTGGGTCTGATGGCCAGATAGGACAAATGTCTTAGGATTGTGGTTCTCAACCCTGGAGCCTATTGGGATTGATTGCCTGGGAGTTTGTAAAATCATGAAGGGCCCACCCCAGAACACGTAAGTCAAGATCTCTGGTGGTGGAGCTCAAGTATCAGTATTGTTTTAAAGATCCCTATGTGATTCTTTACTGCTATTATTATTGAATATAATTGCCATACCGTAAAATTCACCCTTTAAAGTAAGTATACAATGCAGAGATATTTTGTATATTTTTAGTATATTCACAAAGTTATGCACCCATCACCACTATCTAATTCCAAGACACTTTACTTACCCTAAAGAGAAATTCAGTAACAATTAGGAGTCTTTCCCCATCACTCCCTCACCACAGCCGCTGGCTACCACTGATCTACTTTCTGTCTGTACAAATTTGCCTATTTTAGACATTTCACATAAATGGAGTCATACAATATGTGGCCTTTAATGTCTGGCTTCTTCCACTTGGCCTAACGTTTTCAAAGTTTCTCCATTTGTAACATGTATCAGTATGTCATTTCTTTTTTTATGCTTGAATAATATTCCATTGTGTAGATATACCACATTTGTATTCCTTCATCAGTTGAACATTTGGCTTGTTTCCACTTTTTACCTATTATGAATAATGCTGCTATGAACATTTGTGTAGAAGTTTTTGTATGGATATATGTTTTTAATTCTCTTGAGGATATGTCCAAGAACAAAATTGGTGGGTCATATGATAGTAGCTCTATATTTAATTATCTGAGGAACTACAAGACTGTTTTCCCAAGTAGCTATACTGCTTTACATTCCTACCAGCAATATATGAGGGTTCTAATTTCTCCACATCCTCAGGAACAGGTTTTACCAACGTTCCTAGTGGGTGTGAAGTGGCATCATTTTGTGGTTTTAATTCTCATTTTCCTGATTGTTAATGATGTTGAGCACCTTTTCGTTGTGCTTATTGGCCTTTTTATACCTTCTTTGGGAAAATGCTTATTCAAATTCTTTGCTTATTTTAAAATTGGGTTGTCTTTACTGCATTGGAAGAGTCCTTTATATATTCTGGATTCAAGTTCAGTTTCAGGGATATCTAACTTGTAAATATTTTATCTCATTCTGTGGGCTGTCTTTTCACTTTCTTGCTGGTGTCCTGGTGAAGCAAAACATTTTTTTTTTTTTTTTAGTTTTAATGATGTCTAATATATCTATTTTTTTCTTTTGTAACATGTGCTTTCTGTGTTATTGCTAAGAAAGCATTGCCTAATTCAGGTTCACAAAGATTTACTCCTTATTTTCTTCTAGGAGTTTTATAGTTTAACACAGGGATGGGGAACCTGTTTTCTGCCAATGGCCATTTGGATATTTATATCATCATTCGTGGGCCACACAAAATTATCAACTTAAAAATTAGCCTGCGATATTTGGTCAAACATTTAATTAACTCACCCCTAATGCCTAGGCAGGGCCAGACCAAATGATTTCTTACTTGGTCCTCGGGCTGGACATTCCCCACCCCTGTAAAAGAGCCTGTGTTCTTTCCCTGTGCATCCACAGTGAGAACCACTGGATTAGAAGGAAGCTTATGGTGGACAGTAGCCTAGAGCCTCATCTTTGTAGCTCTCTGAATGGACATTGCAAGCCTATTTCTTTAAATACACATACACCCCTAACTTGTGAGTTACCAAGCCTGACCTTTGGATCCATGTTTTCCAGGCAGAACACACACTCCTGGTCTTCATGTGAATGGTTCTCTCACCTTGGCCATTGGTTTAATGAAGCCACTGGATTTTTCCCTCCTGAACGTCCAAGACCAGGATGGCAGGGTCGAAGACCTCCTGTTCCATGTTGTGAGCACACCCACCAACGGGCAGCTAGTGCTCTCGAGGAATGGGAAAGAGGTGCAGCTCGACAAGGCTGGCCATTTCAGCTGGAAAGATGTGAATGAGAAAAAAGTGCGCTTTGTGCACAGCAAAGAAAAGCCCAGGTGGCTCCGTGTTCCATTGTTTTCTTCCTGCCTCCTTTCCACCAGTGTTTTGCACCTCCCTCATCCCCCCAAACCCCCCTTTTCTCACAGTTATCCCCTTCTCCTCTGAGAAAGACCCATACTCCACAAGTGCCAAGTGCTTTCAGCTGCCTGTCATCATTTCACTGTAATTGCTCAGAGAGTGTGCTTCTGTTAGAGGCATTTTCATTTTATCACATAATTATGGGTAATTCTCTGATGTGACAGGAAAGATCCTGGTGCAATTACCCAGCTTTCTGGCCCAGCAGAAACCAAACTGGTTATACACCCAGATGCTCCAGCTGCTTCTTCAACATTAGTGTAATATACTGGGAGGAGGGAGTGGCTGAAGGATAGAGTGCACACTTTTCAAGGTGTTGTATGGGTCTTAGAATTTCAGAGTCGGAAGGAAACAAAGAGTCACAGTTTACTTTCTATTATCCACTTCATGGGATTAATTGTGGTTAATATTTAAGCCTGATCCAGTTTTCCTCCTATGTCTAGCATACTTCTGGCTGTCTTCCCCGCCCCAGCTGACGTATGCTTCAGGAATGCAATTGAATGTTAACACTAACCCAAGCAAATAGAGCCGTGTAATTAGCAGAGTAATTCCACTAAGCAGAAATCAGAGAATGCACCCCAAAGATTAGCCTCTTGGATTATCCTTCACCCTGCTCTGCTTCGTTAGTACAGGAAATTCAGACTGGTTTATTTGTAAACAAGGAGTTGATACCCAGGGAACAGCGATAAGGAAACAGTGAATATTTTCTACTGTCACCACTAAACTTGAGATTTTGTTTAAGGTTTGGGCTAGGACATAGGTGGGGAGAAAAGTAAATGGCCCTTTCACCATTTGCAGTTGAGAGCTGGTGAGCAAAGAAACTCTTACAGAAATAAGAGCAAGTAACATTCACTGAACACTAGCTATTAGCCAGGCACTGTGTTAACTACTTTATGTAAATTCTGTATATTTGTATTCCCAGTCTCCGGGCCTTCAGAATATAAAGTAATCTTACCCAAGGCCTTGCATCCTATGATGCACAGCTCAGACTCCAACCCAAGGCTTTCTGATTCCACAGCCCATGCCTTTAACCACTATGATTTCTGTCTTAATAATAGTAGGAATAATGGGCATGCTTCCATCTCCGCGGGCATGCAGAAGTGTTGCTATAAACGGTGCTTAAAACTCTAGTACTTGATGCTATAGAATCACCCGTCAAACTCATGCTCCATCTCCTGCATTCCTTTTGCTGCAAGTATAGTTAAATGTTTGCATATCTCATACACACACACACACACACACACACACACACACACACACACACCTGTAGTTGTTTGTCTTGGAATCACTTCTGAAATGTGTATAAAGTACTTAAAGCTTCAAAGACAACCAAAGTGAAAAACCTCTTGTTTCTCTAAGCTTACCTTTTTAATCTCTCATCATCTATTTCCTCACAGAGTCAGCTTTGTACCCATAAACAGGACAAAGAATGGCAACTATTTTTAGGGAATTTTTAGCACCTTTTTGGGGTACACATTTAACATTGGATTTTCTTTATCTAAAAATTTAAACAAAAGAAGGAATGAGAGGAATAGTAAAAGAACCAGGCTTGGCAGAAACTCATGAAAAAAGGAAATGGTATGTCTCCGGATGATACAAAAACGAAAGACACAACCTGCCACACAGGTTTGTGGTTTTGTTTTCCCCGTGAAACACTGACCCTGATTCTTTAGGACTGGAATGCTTTAGGATTGCATTCCTCTAGGGTTGGAATGCTCCTGTGGAGTACAAGGCAGATTGTAAATATAGTCATAGGAGACGAGATAAGCTCCATTGCTGAGATGCTGAGCACAGTTATTGGAAGCTCACTGCCAACAAAAAATCATTTTCCCCACTAGGTTGGGAGTAACTAGCTCATCATTTGTGTTCTCTTGAAAGCTGCAAGTGGGGATGGAGAGGAGCAGGATTTAAATGGGGCAGAAAATGAAGGGAAAAATAAAATTGGAGGGAATACAGCAAACTTTTTAAAATTAAGTTTTCTGAGGTACAGTTTGCATTTAATAAAATTTCCTATTTTAAATTACTGTTCTATGAGTGTTAACAAATGTATACTGTCTTTCAGTCTTGAGAACACAACCACATTCAAGGCATAAAACCCCCAAAACTCCATTTACAGTCACTACCTTCCCCAGTTCCTGGGAAACACTGATCTGTTTTCACCCTTGTAGTTTTGCCCTTTCTGAAATGTCATGTGAATGGAATCAGCAAGTATGTAATCTTTTGTTTCTGGCTTTTGCCATAATGTTTTTGAGATCCATCCACATTCTTTCATGTTTTGGTAGTTAATTCCAAGAATACCTTTTAAAGAACTTTGAAAACAGTGGTCCCACCATAGACCAGAATTCAAACCCTCTCATATACATTAATTATGTCTTATCAGGCCACAGTGAGTTCTGTGCTTGGTTTGGCTTGAAGCAGGCAACTCCTACCTTTCCTTCTATTAGTCTCTGAAGCTGTTGAAACAACACTCTTTATGAGAAGTACAAACCACAACAAAGAGTGAGCCTTATTTTGTTTTCTTAATTAGGATTCTTTGGTTGTAAGTAAAGGAAGTCAACTTGAACTAGATTAAGGAAATAGTAAGGTGTGTTGTAACATTGCAGGTGTGGCCTAGATCTCAAACACATTAAGGGCAATGGGCCCCAGGGCCAGCCTGGAAGCTAGAACCAGGACCAGGAAGCAGGACTCAGTTCTTTCTCTTGTATCTGTGTCTTGACTCATAGGCTTCATTGACCTCTCTCCTACAAACCGGCTTCCTCCACATCCTCATCCACACTATGGTTTCCCAATAGGCAATAACCAGACATCCTTCCCTAGTCAAGTCTACATTAAATGTTGCATGTGTGTGGCTGGACAGGGAGGTGGCTAGAGTTATGTAATGAAAGCATTGCAAATATTGTTATTTGGGACCCACTCATATGATTGGGTAGGACGTGGCAAGAGGGTTTGCAGGGACTAGGGACTCATTGAGATCTACTCAAAGATTTTGAAAGATTCCTTTTTCATTCTTTAGTTTTATTTACCATTAGCCTACAATATATCACTAACCTTTCGTGGCCCAAAAACTGATTTTCAACCTTTTATGGATTCAATTTAGAAAAATAGGAAACAAATTATATAATTGTTACAATGAGATCTAAGAACACACAATAGTTTTGTCTGCATTTCACTAGGTTCATATTTATCTGGTCATTTTTATTTATAGTATGAATGTTATATTACTGTAGTGGTTTGATCCAAATTCATCCATGCACATAGCCTGGAAATGTTTTTAATCATTGTCATTCTAATGACTAATTTAATGGTTGCATTTTCTCATTTCTTCTTTGGAATTTCTTTTAGGAAAGGTTACTTTTCCCTGAAAATTAGTGACCAGCAGTTCTTCTCTGAGCCACAGCTGATCAATATACAAGCATTTTCAACACAGGTAATAAAAATGCCACACTATTAATAATTTTATGTGTCTACCAATTCTCAAGCACCAATAAAGATTTCTTGTAGTTGTAGATAAATGAATGAGCTGAATTAATCGTGTCTCAGTTTTCTACTGAAATAATTTTTTTTAAATATATACTTTTTACTTTTTAAAAATATATTTTATTGATTTTTTTACAGAGAGGAAGGGAGAGAGATAGAGAGTTAGAAACATCGATGGGAGAGAAACATTGATCAGCTGCCTCTTGCACACCTCCTACTGGGGATGTGCCTGCAACCAAGGTACATGCCCTTGGCCGAATCGAACCTGGGACCTTTCAGTCCACACGCTGACGCTCTATCCACTGAGCCAAACTGGTTAGGGCCTGAAATAATTTTTTAATGCTTCTAGGCAATAACAATAGCAGCAACCATTACTAATATATCTGTAATACTCTTTGTAGTGTTTCTCATTTAATCCTCATGCCATCCCCATGAGGTATTATTATCCCCAATTTACAAGTGAGAACTCTAAGTCACAAGGAGCTTAAGTAACTTGTCTATGGTGATACACATAATCAATAGAGAGCCAAGATCTATGCTCATTAACTCTGAATGCAGATTCTTTGTTCTTGGTCATTGCATTATGGTGCCATCTTTTGCTATACTGAATCAGAAACTAGCCCATCAGAATAATTTGAGGTGGTTCTAGTTCTTAAGACTTTCCTTATTCATCTCTCTTTTGAGTTAGTTTTGTAAATGTTTCTCTCTCATGGGTATGGGATTATGTTGGCTACTTTTGCCTTATCTACTATGCAGCCAGACTGCATTTATCTTAGTTGGCAGAAGTTAGATGATCTTATTAAGGATATTCTTAAATGTTGTGCCACTGTGGTCATCAGCCAAGCACTGGTCTGAGGAAATCATGGTAGCTGTTGTAAAACTCAGTGTGATGGTTCTCTTCTCATCACTCATCTCTGTCAAGTTGTACTTATGTGTGCAGAATACATATAGTGGTAGAAACTCTGAATAATTGGGCTTGCGGATTTGAACAGCTGAAATGTGCAAAGAGAGTAGGAAGATAGATATGCTCTTAAGTTGTGAATGGCAAGAGAAAGGACATCATGGGGAGCCAAGGCTACCTAAATACTAATACTCCAGATCTCAGGAGTGTATTAGACATGATTCAAGGAAGGACATGAGGTCATTGTTTTTAAACTGAAATTTTTATATCTTTGGTCCGAAAATGAAAGGACCATAGACTCTGAACCAGAAGTGGCTGCCAAATGATATGAGCAGCCCAGCTCAGCTCTTCTTGATGGCATTCTCACTTCAGGGATGGACTGAAATTAAGGAATGATTAGAAATTGGTCCTAAATTAATTTGATCTCAGAGTTAAACTAAGAGTATGAATTTTGTTTTAATTGTAGCTAAAATGTGATCTCTGTAAAATGGGCCAGAGGGTAACATCAAGCCCTAGGACTTATTGGCTTAGGTGTTTTTCAGCACTTAAGCTCAGAAGCTTTGTTTTGTTCTTTTTGTTTGTGTGATATAGTTATGCTAAGCATGTGAATAAAAGGCCTAGTGTAGGTATAAGCAAGTGGCTTTCTCACCGAGATGGTGAGTTCTGATGGTTCCCTGATACTTGTTGTTTTCCTGAAACCAAGTGAGTAGTTAGTGAGGGCACATTTTTATTTTATTTATGAGAAACTTTTATCATTTTAACTTTTCAAAAATGCGATTTTAGAAATGAATTTTAACTTATTTTTGTTCCTTAACATTTCTGTGATATTTGAACATGGTCTTGAGGCTCCATGGCCTTTTCTCATGTAAGTTAAGTCAGTCTTTTCAATTTATGGATTTTGATATCACCTTTGACTTCTCTCTTTAGAATCCAAGAGGCCTTTCATTCCCATGTATAGAATCACAGCTTTGAGTTTTCACTTGGGAATTCTCAGTAGCTATTTTCTAGTTTCCCATTATGTGATTATTATAATCATGCATTCATTAGACATTACTCTAATAGATATTGAAATTCCCAGGAGGTCAGGAGGGCTAGTTTTAAAAGAAAGCCATTTGGATTAAAGAAGGCAATGTGCTGAGAAAAGTCCTAGATGGCTCAACTTCAGAGGATATAAAAAACTGAGAGAATGTTTTTTTTGGCTTCTGGCCTTGATATATATTTTTTTTCAGGGATTTTTTTCTATTACGGTTCATTAACTTTTATTTTTGTGAAGGAACATTTTATCTGCTTACTCAAGTTGGTAAGAGCACACCTGATAATCCTAAGGAAAGATATTAAAATTTGCTATATGAGCAGTGCCACTTAAATTAACCAGGTGCTTGCCTTACTCAGATCAGGATCTTGTCAGGATTTATAGCCTGAGCTGGGTTGGGTCCCTTGAAGATATGAATGAAACAGCTTGAAGAAAATTACTGGGAGGGACCAGAAATAGCATGAATTCAGAATGCAAAATTATCTTACTCTAAGTCAGCATGCTGCAACATGGACTGGAATGAAGTGCTCAACTCCCACCACAAATGTAAAAATTCCATATGTCTTTTATCATCTCTTGGATGCAGACAACTGACCGGGTTGCCTGACACTGATCTGATCACAGTTACAGTGAAGGGGATGTGGTATAACTCAAAACAGCAGAGACTTCAAAGATTTAGAAGCAAGCAGTTCTCCTTGGTGGCCTCTGATGATACTGCAGTCCCGAAGTGGCTAGAGATGCCTCCAGAATCAGAGATGTGAACCTTATTTGCTGTGATTCCTATGACCAATCCTACCTTTGACAAATACTGTGAATATGCAACAGTTTGGCACTTTGCTAGAACATCTAGAGTTCTTTAAAAAGCATCAAAATATCAATTAGGTTGCACACAACTGGTATCTAGCCCACTGGGTGGTCCTCTCTTTTCCTGCTCAATGCTTTCACTTCTTCTCCTTCATTCCACAGCCCCCCTATGTACTGAGAAATGAGGCTCTCCACGTTAGCAGAGGAGAGAGGGGAACCATCACCACCCAGCTGCTTGACATCCGAGATGATGACAATCCACAGGATGTGATAGTTGAAGTGCTGGATCCTCCACTTCATGGCCAATTGCTTCAAACACTTCAGTCCTCTGCAACCCCTGTCTATCAGTTCCGGCTGGATGAAGTCTCCAGGGGCCTTCTCTACTATGCTCACGATGGTTTGGATAGCACATCTGATGTTGCAGTCTTGCAAGCCAATGATGGATACTCTTTCCAAAATATACTGTTCCACGTGAAGATTGTGCCCAAGGTACGTGTCATTCCCAAAGGTACTATTTCCTTTCTCCTAGATGTTAAGTTTTGTTGATGATATCATTTTTTAATTTCATAAAGATATGGGTGGTTATTTATACCATTTGTTAAGCACCTATTAGGGGGATACTTAGGACATTCACAGATTAAGAGAACATATTACCCAGTCCCAGGAGCAGTATATATTTTGTTAGGAGCACCTTTGATTTGAAAAACCTGGCCCCATTCTCTCTACAAAAGGTAAACTTTTGAATCTTTATGTTGACTTGCTTCCATAAAAGTGCTTCATTGTCCACGGATCCTTTTGTCTCCTGCCTAAGCATGATCATAATCGAATGCACCCCTGTTCTTGTCTGCTCTTCTAAAACAGCTCATGAAATATGTAAAGTTCATAGTCCAGGTCTCATAATGCATCAAAAAGGATGAGTTCAACTATTCTGTTAGCCCACAGAAGCAGGAGTGGGAACTCTTTCTTAGTTATGATAGGAATCATTGGCCTATGAGGTAGAAGCAGTGTTTCTCAGCCTGAGTCATTCCTGTGCTATTTCTGTATGTTTCTGCCATATGTGAAAGCACCTGCTCTGTTATTTACTTTGAATCAACTTCCTATTTTACTGTGCCCTCATCCTAATGAACAATAGTTGTGAAATCATGGGTTTAATGTACAATTATACTTTTTTCTATAATGCTAAAATTAATATGTAACCGTTTTATAAAATTTCATTCATGTCTTTCATAAAATACTAGAGGCCTGGTGCATGAAATTCATGCACTCGGGCGGGGGGCGGGTGGTAAGTCCTCAGCCTGGCCTGCTCCCTCTCACAGTGTGGGACCCCATGGTGGATGTCCGCCTGCTGGCCTAGGGCTGCTGAGCAGGGCCTATGCTGGCAAGGCTTCCACCACCACCACTGCACTCACCGGCCATGAGCCAGGCTGACTGCTCCTTAGCGCTGCCTTGGAGGTGGGAGAGGCTCCTGCCACTGCTGCTGTGCTCGCCAGCTGTGAGCCCAGCTTCTGGCTGAGCAGTCCTCCCTCTGTGGGAGCGCACTGACCACCAGGGGGCAGCTCCTGCATTGAGCGTCTGCCCCCTGGTGGTCAGTGCTTGTCATAGCAGCCAATCGTTTCACCATTTGGTTGATTTGCATATTAGGGTTTTATTATATAGGATTCTTGGGATATCTATCATATTTTAGGGAAATAGTGAGCTAAATCTAAGAGATCTATTGAAAAATATTTTCTAAATCATTTATTACTTGATGATACTTCATTAGAAGCTCTTTTCTCTGTTATAAAAAGAATGGCCCTTTCCATGATGGTAGACTGAGATACATAACTTTTTGAAACTTTTCATTCCAAATATCGGTACCTAATGAGAGGTCATTAGTGATCAGCTAAAGAGATTGATCACTTGTCACTTTCTCACCAGTGATCATTCAAAATTTGTGATTGATCCTCATGAAGGTGAATATCTGAATCTAAGATGGTCTGCTCTCTAGTTTCTCAGGCTCTTGTCTCATTTTCAGCTGCTAAAAACAGGGATGGTGAAATAGATGGGAGTAACTGAAGGCTGATTATGAGACAGAGTTGGCAGATAGCCACCTTGTAGCTAATCCTAATTATCACCCTCTCACAATCGCCCTGGGAAATGAGGTTTCGTTCTGAAGAGATGAAGTCTATACAGACACAGAAAGTTTCCTTTCTTTCTTTTGTGGTTTCTTTTCAAAGATTGTTACAAGACGTCAGTGCAACCCTAGCAGCTGCCTTCCTTATCGTGGCTTCAGTCTCCATGTGTGGAGCTCAGTTCAGTGTCCTGCACAGTAATTTGTGTGCAAGGTTGAAGTCCTAAGATTGAAGGGTATTTCTAGGATTTTTGCTGCTTTGAGTAAAAAAAAAAAGAAAGAAAGAAAGAAAGAAAAATAGAGTTTTACTGTATAAGTAAGGCATAAGCACAGAACTTGAGAATCCTTGTGGTGTTAAATTGAGAGTCATGTTGCTATTTCTGGTGTCTATCCCTCCTTCCCCTGCCATCTCTCATCCCCTGTCATGCTGTGCTTGCCTGTCCATCAGGTGAACTAGTGGTTTATAGGCCAATGAATTGGGGTAATGAAACCAGTGGCCAGAGCCCCAACATTCATCTGGATGTACTACTAATAAATTTGCCTCTGTAATACTGATAATGTTTTATAAACATATACTACATGTTTTGAAGGAATTCAAAGTATTTTTCCTCTTATTTATTCTACTGATCTTTATAATATCGTAGTAAAGAAGGTTAGAATAAAACTTATATGACCTTATTTCTTACAAGGGAAATTTTACTATGGGTGGTAGGTGTTTTTGTTTGTTTTGTTTTTTAATCTTTATTGGGCACTAATGCTTAATGTAAATTATTTCATTTTATCTTTATAATCATTTTGGGATGTTTGTGCAATTATTATGTCTACTCTTTCAAAAGAAGAAACTAAAATGGAAGTTTGAACATATTTAGAGGCTTAAAACATTGTTCATAAAGGCATTTAGTGCTGGAGCTGAGAATTCAAGGGCGTTCCAGCTCCTCACACTTAACCTCATGGGTCTTTTCATTCTAGTCCATCTTTTTCAATATTTTGGTCATATATTTTCTTATCCCCTTAATGGACTGAATAGATACAGTAAGTTAGTCATTTTCTCAATGTCCTATTAAAGCAGTCTAGGCCTGAAACCTCCTGAAATCTTCCCTCTGGGCTCAGCACATCTTATTACAAGTGAAGCTATTTGTAACCATAAGTCTACTGGAGCCCACGAAGAAAAAAATTGCCCCAACTGTTAATAGTTTCCAGTAGATGTGAGGTCAGACATGACTGATTTCCTTCTGATAGCTATTTCTGAAAATGGGCATCCAAGTCCTTTCCCTGAGGCTACCTGTGTGTTAAATTTGGAGTGAGGCCAGTTACTGGGCTAATGTCTAGCTGGTGGCTTAAATGGAATGGCCAAGGGATTTAGGTCTAATTCCTAGTGAATGGATGTACAAATTAATCCTGGTGTTGTTCAACAGAAAACTTAACCTGGTAAGATAGATGGAAAGGAAGAAGAGGTAGAAAAAGGAAGCTTTGTGAGAGCAGAAGCTATTTCAGTCTGACTCTCTTGAGCCAGGTAAAACGTAGGAGTTGAGTAGGTTTTTGTTGGATGGGTAGATAGATGGATGGAGTGCCTGTTGTCCTGCCTTTGAATGGATTTCTTGCACCAGATGAGAAGCCTGCAGAGCATCTCTGCTGGTGCTGGGGTAGCCCATTTGGGACTGAGGATGGGCACTGTCGGTTCCACTCTTGTTTCTCAAGTTCTACATCACTTCCCAAACTTGGCCTGGCAGGGAGTAAACTTGACTGTCACCTTCCAGGCCTTTATTGAGTGGTTGCGGAGGGAACAGACTCAGGACTGGTGCTGAAACATGTTCTGTTGAAGGGAGGAGGCAAAAGAAATAAAAAAGATTAAGAAGTAATAAAGAATGCTGTGCTGAACAGGCTTTCATTAATTGGGTGGATTAGCAAAACCAAGTCTCCTAGATGTACTGTTCTAAAGCAGTTCAGCTTTTAATAAGGGCTAAAAGTGTGGGCAGGGAAAAGTCAAGCTTATTGGCGAATTACTCTCCACCGCTGGGCTTTCAAAGAATTACCTTCCTTTTTATTAATTAAGGCATCTCTGAAAATCGTGTGTCTTTTTCCACATTGGCAATAAATCTGATGATCCTTCTGACCTCGTTTGTTGTTGTTTGAACAGTTATTTTCTGCAACTGGGTAATGCTTTGATGTTAAAAGCCCCTGAGTGTCATGCTTATGAACCGAATGGAAAATTCAATTATTGAGAGTCCGTTCTGGCTGTTTGACCTTGGAAAGGCTCCTTTGCAGCTAAAAGCCCTGCTGTGCTTTCCCTCAATTTTCTTTATTTTTTAAAATCTTTATTGTTAAAAGTTTTACATATGACCTATTTTCCCCCCATTGAACAATTTTCTTTAAAGCTCTCCTCCCCTTGGTTGTCTTGCAGGGATACAGTTTGATAATTAGGATGTTTGTGAGAATCATAAATATCAATGGCATAGAAAATGTTTATTTTTCTCAAGAAGAGTCTATGTCATAAATAAATCCTTATCACATGTTAGGGTTTAACCTTTTTTGGACTTAATTTGTTCAATGTAGTGTCTTTAAGATGTATCGCTCAAAGTATACATTCCAAAAATCTTCGTTGAGTCCAAAAAAAAAATTATTTGTTTGTTTGTTTATAAAGCAGTTAAATCTACATGAAGAGAAGGTTCTATATTCTTGACCTGAGGGAGCAAAGCTTCTTCATACACACATTGACAAACACAAAAACAGTCCAATTTTCTTTCCATTATTCTTCATCTTGGTAAATAGCATCAAAGTTTCACCCTACATGCACCACCCTGCATGATCCTTCCCTAAAATCTGTAAGATTAAGGGATGGAAGGGTGGGTGGGGAGAGATTTACCAAAGAACTTATATGGGTATATGCATAACTCCTGGACATAGATAATAGTGTAAAGACCTTGAGGGAGGGGGTGAGGGGGAGGTGGAGGGGAGAAAGGGTCAGTGGGGAAAAAAGGGGGAACCTGTGTAATACTTTCAACAATAAAGATACATTTAAAAAGTAAAATAAAAGCTATGGTATAAATGAGCCTTTGGAAATTAAAGTTTATTTATAGAATAAATAAAATGTTAGTGTTGACATTGACGTAGATTATATCCAATTATAGTCATTTTCTGTTTAAGTTTAAAATTTTTTATCTTAAATATTTTGGCCTGGAGTTGAGGTACACTATCATTTGAGATCATTTTGTCCCAAGCTTTAATTTAGAAGTGGGGAGGATTTCATTATATTTTTGGGATTATTATAATTTGGTTTACAACATTAATATTTTTATTTGTAATACAGTAAACAATGGCAAAACTTTATTACCAGCATTTCTGTATGCCTTCTGTTCTATGAAATGAACTTTTTAATTTA